GGAAACCCAAGGAGGGGTCGTTGTGAGTCAGATCTGACTCGATAGCAGTGGGTTTAATGGATGAGCAGAAAGAGAATTTATTGGCAATTTAGAGCTGACTCAGAGTACCAAAACCAATGCACTGCCATGGAGTCGGACCGACTCAGAGCGACCCTTCCTTGGGTTTACGAGGCAGTATCTCTACGGAAATAGATTACCCAATCTTCCTTTTGAGGAGTGGCTGGTGGGTTTGAACCCCCAACCTTCTGGTTAGCAGTCAAATGCCTTAGGCACTACGCCACCAGGGCTCCTATCCACAGAGTAGTAGAAATAAAATAAAAGCAATATACAGAGTATTAAATCTGAAAAGTGGTGGTTCCAAATAAGGAAAGCTACTAGCTACTCCAGGTCTTCCCCCCGGTCAGGTGCTTTTCTGGACTCATGTAAGTGCTCAAGCTGAAGACCATTTGATGTTACTATCGTCCTTATTTTCCTCTTACTAGATCATCCTGAAGATAATGAATTTAAACAGATAGAGATTAGATTGGAAATTCTTTCTATTCACACTGAATTTAGTTCATACATATATCATGCACTCACTCTGTGCTAAGAGAGATATAAATATGAGTAGCACTGCAGTTCTTCCAGTATAGTGGAACTGAAATATATATGAATACATGTAATGCAAGACAGACTGTGATGTTTGCTACAAAAGTGCAATATTAATTCTCTCTCTTTTGAGAAAAAAGATGGGATTGGGCGTTTTCTGAAATATTAAATTCAATTAATTCCTCAACATTACTGAACACCAAATATATATCTGGCTCTCTTCTAGGAGTTTGCATTCTATTGCTGGAATACAAGTTCTAAAAAATAAAGAGATGTATTGTTGGTGGTAATATTAGTTGCTATTGAGTCTGCATTCATACTGAACCAATATGTGAAGAGTAGAACTGCTTCATAGATTTTTCAAGACTGACCTTTCAGAAACAGATCACCAGCCCTGTCTTCTGAGACATCTTAGGGTAGATTTGAACTGCCAACATTTCAATTAGTAGTTGAGCAACTGAACCTTTTGTGTGGTAAGTGTTAGGAAGAAAAGTATAGCAGAATAAGGGAACAGAATGATGGAAGGAAAACTGCTCTTTTGTCAGGTGATTATAAAATAAATCTCAATAAGGTGACCTTTGAAGGATAAATAAAGTTTCTTCATAGGGTGATGTCATGGAGAGGAGGCCATTGTAGGCTGAGAGCATAAGCAAAGGCAAGAGTGCCAGAATGCAAGGGAGATTCCAGGAAAGCTAGTGCATATGGTTTGAGGTGAAGAAGAAGGGTATATAGGCAGAGGGTAAACTGCGGATGATTTTATAGTTTAACCAAGGAGTTTTGATTATATCCTTTAAGTGTGTAAGAGGTGGACAGCCCTAATGCTTCTTAAGCAGGAGAGAAAAATAAGAAGAAAGGAAACAATTGCAACATTTTGTTCAAAAGACAGGTGAATAAACACAAGATACGTGAATACACCATTGAAACACTGTGTTGGAAAACTAGGCACAGAGACTGGTTTTCAGAATTTAATAGTTCAAGATTTTACTTAGGACAGGATGTTAGTAGGGAGAGATCAGACTTGGTTCAAGGTTAGGAGGGAGGTAGAGAAGAAGTCAAAGGAATTGAATCTGAGAACATGGGAGGGTAGTTTTGAAATTTTAGTGAAATAAAAAAATGAGAAGGATGTTTTAGGGCCAGGGAATTTAGGAGTTTTGGAAATGTTGAATATAATATATGTTTGGCATATTAGCATGGAGATGCCCTGCTAGGATTTAAAAGTGGGGATCTGGGCCCAAAAAGTATGTCTAGGTTGGGGGATAAACCCTTATAAGTTGTTGGTGTAGAGGTCTGGCATTAAATCGTGGGAATGAATAGGTTTTGCGAAGTAGAACGTACTGAATGTGAAGGTAAGTTAGTTATCTCCCAAGACACATGAGAAATATGTCCCTCTCTCCTCTAGAGTACTTTAGAAGCTCCGTCCTTTACATCACATTATACATGACCAACAAATCTTTTGCCACTTATTTTGTTCTCCCCTATGTGTATTACCTTTTATTTACTTATTTTAATAATATTGCATGGTTTCTGAGGTCTTAGGTTATATTTCACACTGCTCTGAATTCACTGCATCACTAACCTGAAAATTTGATCATGGTAGGTTTTTGGAATATTTGTTGAACAATCTCTTACTTCTGAAGCTAGTCAGCTCCTCTGACTCCTCTTTATTCATGAGATTCTAATTTCATTTTTGATATAATCAGGAGTAATAATATCTGCAATTTTAATATTAGGATTCCCAGAAGAGAGATGCAGGAAACATGAGGACACATGCATTAATGAAACATTTTATATAAATTTTATGTCATCATATATTTTGTTTTCTTGATCTTTCATCTTCATATCATGAGCCCATTAAAATGCTTACAAATGATAATTTCTCATGGACACATATAAAGCAGTCTTTTCTCTTTAGAATTTGTAGATATAATTAGGCCATATTTGCCTCTTTGCATCTGCCAACCCTAGAGTTGTTAGGTTGCTGTATGATGGGTTAATCTGTTTGCTGCTGCAAATATTCCAGCTGAACTGCTTTGCATACATTTCTCTTTTGTTCTGGGCTGTTTGATTTGGGTGCCTGTATTCATGATACTTCTAAGCACCACATTATAGAGAAATTCTTCCTCTGGATGGGGTTTCCTTTTGGGAGTTGAAGCTTTAGTGATAATTATATTTTTCTTTTCCAAGTTTATATCATGAAGGGATGGAGATAACCAAAAAAGAAAAAGTAAGAAAAGTACCCTGGCAAAAGAGAACAAAGGAGAAGAACAAAGAACCCACAAGGAAATAGATTGGAAGGAAGGCATGACAAGAAGGTGATAGATAAGGCCTTTTGTCCTCAAGAGCATTTACACAACTTATGTAACTTCTTAGTGTAGTGGCTAAAGCACTTGACTGCTAACCAGAAGGCTGGTGGTTCAA